GTGCTCTTTGCTAAGCCTAGGGAGCAACTCCAGGAGAGCCTGCTAATTCAAGACCACTGTCGACCTTCTACATCCACCCTGGAGGAGGGGAAAAGGCTGACAAACCCTCTTCTGTGCTGCTTTTGTTTTATTGTATTAGGCTCATAAAAGCACTTTCAGGGCCCATCTTTCTTCAGCAGAAAAGGAAAGCAATGGGGAAACAGGGAAGAGGAGGACATGGCAAAAAGACAGGCGGAGCTCTAGCTCCATTTGTTTTCAGTGTCTCTTGATTAATAGGTTTTAAGGTGGATGGTGAACTCTCATTCCTCTGGTAGTGGAGGAAGGGGAGGGGACTCTGGGGGTCTGGGACGCAAATACCTGATCAGTCCCTCCCGTGCCATGTTCCTGGCTGTGGGTGGCAGAGAGTGCCTGCTGGACTGCAGCACATCCCTGCCTCCCAAGCAGGACTGCAAGCTTTGAGTACATTTAAAAGGTCACCCAGGTCGGGGAAAGGGGTCTCTCCCTGGCTGCAGCCATGGGAGTTGTGCTGGTGGTCACTAGAGTTTCAGGCTGGGCTGGGACAGGAGCATCCTCCCTGTCCTGCCCTTGGCTGCTCGGCCGGGGACATGTTGGAGCAGAGTCAGGCTGAGGGCTTTGACCGCTGCGGTGCTGCAATGGCATGATGGCTTGTTTTCAGCCTGGGTGGCTTTTTTTTCCAGACCTGCTTTTACTAAACCCGTGTTATCCCAGTGAGGACAAACCCTCTGGTGTCTCTGGCATGTTTTTTTCTGACTTTGAGTTGATACCGTGATTTTATTACCAAAGCCAAACAAGGTATGAATTTGCAAACAGAAATTGCAGTAGCAAACTCTTCCTGTTTAAAGGTTGGTTTCTCTTTGTGTGCTAAACAATACAATGTTTCATCTTGTGCAAGTCTTATGATGCTTTCAGAGACTTAGGAACTATTGATTTATACAGCATGTATTAACTTCTTCAATAAATGGGGAGTATTCATCAGTGGGGTGTATTAAATTGGGCTGTATACGCATAGAAGTATCTTTCATCCTGTTAATGAAATGTCCTTACCATGCAACAAAGACTAATACACAGCAATTTATACACACAATCCCCTGCAGTTTAAATTTGAAGTTAGATTTTTTTTTTGTTACCTAAAGGCACCTATCAGAACTTAGGCTAAATGGATCTCAGTATTCCTCTGAAACATTTATCAGTCCAAAATTTGTTGTGGTTTTGGTGTGGGGGTTTTTTCATTCTAGAGCTCCATTATTGTTTAAAGTTATCTGTGTTTAAGCACTCCCAGAAGCATTTCAAATTCATACAGAGAGATTTAGTAGTAGAGCTCCTATGGGGACAGTTTCGTCTGGTTTGCTTTAGGCAGCAGTTATCAAGAAAAGCAAGCTTCTCTTGTTTTTTTGCAATTCTTTACCATGCCCTCTAACCCAGCGTATAAGACCTCAGCTTTCAATGGAGAGGGGTGATTTATCAGCAGATGACTTGGTACTATGTAGATGCTGGGATTTCTGTCTAGAAATCTCCATTCGTTCCTGTCCTGTTACCACATGCCCTGATGCTAATCTGTTCCTACCAGTGCAACTCCCCTGTCTGTGCCTGACATAGCCATAAATGGAGTTCTTCAACTTGCCAGAGAAATTCCTGCTTCTCACAATGGCTTTTAGCTTAAAACTGCCCTTGATAAAGTACTCACAAATGTATATTGGAGAAGGGCCTTTTGCAGGGGCATGTCTAAGGTCATCTAATAAGTGTCTCCTATTGATGGCTTCTGTGGTTTACCTTTCACTGCCAGTGGATGGGGTTAGGACCACACTTGTTACTCAGGCAGAGCTCCCATTGACTTCAAAGGAAGATGCATGTGCAGGATTAATCCTGCTCTTCCCCAGCTTGTCCTTTCTTTTTCTCTTTCCCAAGGAAGCTAAGTTAACTTCAGGAATGGTATTTTTAAAGAGCAGCTTATTTAGCATATTGTGCATGATTAGCTTGGCTTGCAAATTGTGTGTGCTGTTTTGAGGGGAGTTATGGTCCTTTTTCCCCAGTGTGTGATAAACAGTGCAAAATGTAATGGAAACCTGGCCCTGAGTAGTGATGCAGATGCAGACTGATTCTCAGGGAATTGGATCACACTCCTCTGTCCCAGAGAGCATATTTTTGAGCATGTATATGACAGTTTCCACCTTTCCCCCAGTACATTTTCCCCACACCTCTGCCCCAGCATCATCAGAATGCAAAAAAGTATCCTACACTTGCATCCAGTACCTTTATATGAGTTTTCTGTTTGAGCGCAGGGCAGTCACCCGAATAAAAATGACTTACCTGGGGAAAAGTTTGCAGGCTTAAGGTTCAAACTCTTACTTGTTGATCTTTCTTTATTCTTCTGTTTGCTTTTTATTTTTCTCTGAAACATGTTAAGTAAAATACGTCATAATGTAGCACCTGTTCTATTTTGTGGAGATATTGCGGGCAGCCTTGGTATATCAAAGCAGTGAGTGGTAGTTTCCCACAGTTTACATGTAACCCCCTATGGTATATCTGGCTTTGGTGATAGAGGCATGTCAGTCCAGCTTTCCTCTCATGTATTGTTTCTTGTTTTTTGGCTTAAGTCTGACTCTCTAATGTTATTCTATCACTTACATATTTTTTTAACTAACCAGTTCCAGTTTCTATGAAAATAAGCTCTCTGTGGAAGACATCCCTTAACGTCTGCTAGGGTCTGAGTGAGGTTTATTTGCAATGATGTGACGAGTTGGGAGAGTACAAAGCTCTACAGCATGTATTAACTTCTTCAGTAAGTGGGGCCACACTGTGGGTCACCTAGCAGCATGAGTTCACACAATTCTTGGCCAGAAAAAACGCCTCTTATTGGAAGTGATAATTTTTGTGAACCTGATCAACTGGTCATTTGGCTTGTAATGTCATGTGTTGTTGAGTAGATGCTTGCCTCTTTGTGTGGTGTGTAATACAGTTTGTCACATGAAGCCCGTGCCAAAGCTTTCAGTTACTTTTGGAGTGCTTAGGTGTCAGTTCACTTCAAAAAGAACAGATATTGGAGTAGAGCGTCTCCTTTGGCTTTTTTAACTTTGAGAGCTAAATCCTCATAATTTCTCTGATGTGAAACCACTATGGATCTGTGCGGCCAGAAATTGTCCTTGGCTGTTCAGCTGGCAGAAGATCTGACCTACAACCCCACCAACACAACGTGCTGTAATGTGTAGCATTGGCTGTCGTGACCATGCTCTGTCCTGCATGGTGGCCGCTTGATATGGGAATCCCATGTGCCACGTGTGCGGTGTTAGAGGGGAATCACCTCTTGTAAGGGCTGCAAAAAGAGATGAACATGGTGAAGGACACGGTAAAAGCTGTGGGAAGCACAAGCACTGTGCTTCTTTTGGATGCACGCTTTTTTCTGCGGGTTATCAAAGGAGTGAGCTCAATAGCTGCATAGGGCAGGGGCTGGGGCTGGGGGAGCCTCATGTCATGGGGCAGGCTGCAAGAGCCAAAGGTGCTTCACTTGACCAAAGCATGATGGAGGGACTTCTTGTTTATTCAGGGACAACAGATATTTCTTTTCCTCCTTGCTCTCAGTTTGTCTTCCCACTTCCTTCCCCCCAGTCTTGAAAGTCATTCCCAGAGAATAACCGAATTATTTTTGAAATGCTTTTAGGGGGTGCTCAGAGCGTTGGAAGTGAGATCAGATAATACCTTCTCTAAAGTGGCACAGGGAGGATGTGTGTTTGGGGGTGCTGGGGGATCAAGCAGTGGGTTTGGAGCCATCCTTGAGCAGGAGAGAGAGAGAGCAGGAGAGTGCTGGCAGACCCTGAACAGCAGCGGCGCTATCGTGGCCACCGTGCTATCACTGCTTTATTTTAATGTGATTCCTTTTACTTGATGTTAATGCAAGTTGTTCCTTACTTAAAGTAATAAAAGGAAATGAAGACACATTCTAAAATGAAACCTGACTCTAATCCATTCATCATCTAATACCAGCCTCTTTATCTTTGCTGGTACCTAATCTGGTTAAATGTCCCTGTTGTAGGATTTTAGTGAAAATCCTCTATGGGGAATAGGGTTTTTTGCAATTGGATTACTTGCAGTAAATGGTCCAGTGGTTCGCTTGTTTCAGCTTAATTTTTTCTTTGTGATCTTGTAAGGGTAAGTTACAGTTCAACCTGCCTTTTCGTTTCATTCATTCACTCCTTTTTTTTTTTTTTAAATTGTTGTTAAGAAAAAGATCTTTTTTCCCCAAAGCTAGGAATGTGATGGGGAAAACCTCCTGATATCTGCGTGATTATTCCCCCCACAAGAGTGTTAATTTCAATGTCTTTATCTGGGGGTTTTTGCCATTATTTATATAGCTGAATATTTTAGCAGCCTAATTAATCAGTATCCAGTTTCCATTTATTAGCGCTCTCTGATGAATTGATAATTAATCAGCTCTTCTAAAATATATATATAAAATATGCAGGTGATCACTTGTCAGCTTAATGCTTGCTGATGAAGGGAATACTCCAGCACTACAAAGGCTTTTTATCTGGAGTATTTGCAATGAGCAGTAAAATGCAGAACTGAAAGTGAGGACAGGAAGGGGAGAGGAAAAGACCTACAGGTCAGTGAGCATTTGGGTCTCGTGCTAATTAAATGGGGGACTCTCTCAGGCCCTCACTGAGGAGTCTGCCTGCATCTTGGAGGTGAAGCACAAGATTATATAATAAAAAGGAAAAATTTTAAAGAATTGCTGTTGCTCTGTACAGGAGCTCGACAGGTCAAAAAGATTAAAGAACCTCAACAGCAGGAAAAGTGTGTGAGGAGGTTTTAAGCAAGAGGGTGGGAAAACTGCAAGGGTAACCCCGAGAAGGGACCTGGAAAAGTCTGAGGATCGTGTTGAAATTGTGGCTACTCAGATTTCTATATATCATGCCTTGTGCTGCAGTGGGAAGGAATAGCCATCGCTGCTCTAATGCCTTCGACCTTTTTTTTTCTCTTGACAGTCTAACAAAGTGCCAGTTGTGCAGCACCCACACCATGTACACCCTCTTACGCCGCTTATCACATACAGCAATGAGCACTTCACACCAGGAAACCCTCCTCCACACTTACCAGCTGACGTAGATCCCAAAACAGGTAGGTGGGAAATAGTTTGGGGGGCTTTTTGAGAGGGAGTGGGTGGATCTTTCAATTTTGCGTATTAGAAGAGAGGAGTGCAGGAGAATGGATTTCCCATACTGGAACACCAAAGGGGGCATGTAAAATGTCAAACCCAGACAAAATAGTTTCTTTTTAAGCCAATTAGACTTCAGAAGGAAACCTACTGGGTGAATTTTCATAAAGCTTCTGCAGGGTGACACCAGAGTTGCATGTGTGGGGTCGTTTGCAGATGTGTTTCTTTGCAAGAATGATACCCCACCTAGTAGTTCGATCTACCAAGTGCTTGGTTTGCATGCACGACCCCGAGAATTAAACATGTACGTTCTGTGATCTGCACTTACAGAATTGCAGCTGGAATTCTAAAGGTGGTGGGTCATGACCGGTTTCAAAATGAATCTCTTTTAATTCCCCAAATCCCATTGTTTCTGTGTCAGGAGTTCAGCCATTTTTCTTCTATAATGTTGAATTTTCATCCACTGTAACTACTTAGCTCCAGCTTTACGCTTGCAACTCTTTTCCCCAATGTAAGTCTACCCAACTCTAAGTTCAGCCTGAAGGGCAGCCTGCTTGAATATAGAGCACCACGTAAAACCCTGACTAGATTTATTGGTGTTACAGAGTAGAATTTACATGTTATTCTAACTTTTTAAGAGTCCTTGTTTAACCTGAGGTCTCAAAGAAGTCAAACAGTGTCAATCTTCTTTCTTCAAGCTGCATTGAGTTCCTAGTGACAGTGGTTTTGGTTTTGTTAATCCAAATCCCATCTAGTTAATTGGAAAGTTCATCAGAAACAGAATTCATGTTAAACGAGTCACTCTGTGTCAGCTCTAACTTATGCAGATAATTTATTTAAACTACAGCCTTTGAATGACGCTGTGCATTAGCTGGTTTTCACTCCCTACATTTTCACTGGGGCCCCCTTTTAATTGTGCTTAATGCTATAACTTCACGTGGCTTGAAAGGAATCCATCTCACTATCCCTGGGTATTGCAAGTGAATGGCATAGTCAACCTCTCATTTAAATAATGGTAGTACAGGGAATAGCTTTTAAATGGTTATCGTAAAACATATGATTAACGTCTGTAGACTGTTTACTTTTCTTCTGTGAACATTCTTTCAAGTGTGCAAATAGCTCACTGGATGGTTAAAGCCCAGTTAATCTGTTTGGGTTTTGTAATGGAGCAAAAGCGATGTCTGCATGAAAATGTCACACAAGGAGATTTAATTTAGAGATTAAAAGCTTCCCAAGTGACTTAAAAAAATAGGTTTTAGCCATGAATACAGTACCTCTTCCTTTTAATGCTCTCTGTTTTAATTTTGCTTCTGCTGTGTAATTGTGCTCTGGCTTGTTAATTGAAAGACCAAGTGTTGTAACCCTTACTCCTCTGAGTAATTCCTACTTGCTCTTAAGGTAAGGAGCATTAATATTTAAGGCTTGTGTCTGGAGCTGGTTTCTGCTTTCCAAGTAGGAACTGCACCAGATTCAGAGAGGATAGGTGGGCTCTCTGTTCTCCCCTGCACACCTTCAGCATCTACCACTGGTTATACCAAGCATTTCCAGGGGCTTTCACCTCCACTCCTAGGTTTCAGAAGGAAAGGTTTCCTAGGTTTGCTCAAAAGCAAACATCATTTGCAATTTTAGTGACTTTTAAACTCATTTTGGAGATTACCTTGGAATAATGCCATGTTATTGAGTACCCAGTCAGTATCTGGGTCTCTTGGCTGACTTTGAGACTAAAATAACCATGAAGTTGTTACAGGATCCATCTTTCTGTTGAGCATTTAAGACAGTATCTAGTACAGCATCACACCGAAATTATAGCTGAGACTTCTAAATAACAGAATAACTATCTCCGATTGGAGAGGTGACTGAGAAAGCGAATAATATCATTTTTTTTTGGTTGAATATCATTTAAGAAAATGCCAGGAGGCTCACTTTATAAAATAAGAGTGTGAAACAACCTTTGGAAACCCAAAGTGAAGGCACAAGTATTGTAATTAAAATAAATTGATAGAAATTTAGAAACAAATGTGGTTTTTCTTTATGTTTCAGTTATTTCCACGTCTCTGTACTGACGCTACTTTATGTTCCTCTTCTGTAGGAATTCCAAGGCCTCCACATCCTCCAGATATATCTCCTTATTATCCATTATCACCGGGCACTGTAGGACAAATCCCCCATCCGCTAGGATGGTTAGTACCACAGTAAGGAGTTCCATTTTTTTCATTTCCTTTTTCTTTTTCTGATGTGTAAAATTTGTGTAAAAATATGTGTGTGTGTGTGTGTGCACGCGCGCATTGAGTTTTGCCGAGCTTGTTTGCCAACTGCCACTGCACTGAGTGTTATGAATTTACCCACTTCATGAAGGTTAATTAAAACTTACGCCAGGTCATGTGGTCTTAAACAGACATGAGAAGTTGGACACAGCTTTGCATGTCATCCCAGCTGGCTGATGGCTTGTGAAGCATGAATCTTTAAACTCTTCTGAAGAAATGTCCTTTCCTTGTTATTGCCCTTATGCTGCGCCACGTGGGTTTTTTTCAGATTTGATTTTCTGAGGACTCAGGGTGGTTCTCACGGACCCTTTTTTTTACCAGGGCCATATTCACTACAAATGTGCAATTTTAAATTTCATTTGCCTTTTATGTTGAAAGTACTTTCAATTTTCTTGTGAAACAGTAGAGCTTTGCATCGACCAGTGAGCAGGATTCCTAGTCGAGATGCGGCTGGGCAATTGGCATCTGAGGAATGGAATTTTCTTGCAAACAAGAAAGAGGAATTAGTTTACTTTAAAACTGGCCAAGAAAAAAGCTGTGGAAAGTTAGCTTGAAGTTTTGTTTTCTTTTCAGTTCCTCATATCCCACTTGCAGAGCCTTGTTGGATGAGACCCCCTCCGGTAGCTGGGTCCTTATTTTCTTTTTTTTCTTATGTTGCCCTCTCTTCAATGGGTTTATAATACATTTAAGCACTACCTAAGCCTTTTGTGTAGTATATTTGATTTAAATACTTATAAAATCCATTTGTATTTCTGGATACAAGAGTTTGCTGCATTATAAATCAAGACTGTTACCCTCTTTTTCTCACAAATTGGGGTGATTGTATTTCTTCCAGAAATGACTTGCGCAAAGCTCAGAATAGTTTGCTCCTGCTTGAGGTTGTTTGGCCAGCTGTGCTAAAATACCTCTCCACAAGTTTGCCCTCCTTGAGGAATTGGAGTTGACATCCCATAGGAGAGCAGGGGGTCCCCACATACTTCCTGGCAGGTCTTGGGCAGGGAGAGCTGGTGGCATCAGAGGCTTTTGGGGCCTTTCTCAAGCACAGAAGTGTTGATGCAGGAGAGCTGGAGCTCAGATGTTGGCCACAGCAGCCCACTTCTGGCCATTTTGTGGGCTGCCTTTCCTTATGGGGTGGTCATGCAGCTTGCTTGGGTAGAGGCTCTTCCACCCTGAGGGTGAGGCATCAGCTTTCAGCAGTCCATCAGCTCTCTGCAGAAGGCTTCTTCTCCAGAAGAACTCATCATGAGCAGAAGAAAAACCCAGAGCATTTCTCCCTGAAATCTGAAATTCCTCCTCATTTGTGGTGACTTACTTTACATGTAGGACACCCTGAACATTGGTAGAGTGCATATCAGCTCCTTTTCTTCTTCTTGCTTGCTTGCAGGGCCTAGCTGCAGTACAGCCATCTCATGCTCCTCTGTTACAGCTGCTTAGCTCAAGTTTGCACAGTAACAGCCTCAGCATTTAAAACAAACATACTCAGCTAGTGCCAAAAGTCAGGAACATGAAAGACATGAGAGTGCAGGGAAGAAACTCCTCACTGTCATTGACCTGTACCTCATTGCTCATCTGTGTCTCAGACCTTACATCTGTATGTGTGCAGACATGGGTTTGTCCTCCTTGAGCCTCATGCCATGGCTGCCAAAGCACATAAATGTTTCCTCATGTGGCCAGTGTCACCAGCCAAGTGCTAATGGCCACGTCTGTCACTGGAAGACTCTCGTCATCACTGCTGGTTTAAACAGGTCAATACCCATAGTGTGCTTCCTACACACAGCTCTTACAGCTTCTCCAAGTGATTTTTTTTTGAGGGGTGATACCATGACATTCACTTTTGCTCTAGGAGAGTAGCATGGCCAACTTCACAGAAGTAACCCAAGGTTTTCATTTCCCCTCTCATTGCCACTTGTGCTTCACCATCAAGTTCCCAACCCATCTATCCTCAGCTGGCCTGCATGTTTCTGGCATAGAACTCACCCCAAAAGTATCTTGCCCAGTCAGATGATATATTTGAAGGACAGATGAAACGAGCAAGCCAGCACAGACAAACCTCCATCAGAAAAAGTTGTGTGTCTTTCATGAGGATGCTGTTTTGCATGTTGCTGTATTTTTTAATTATTGTAATGAGGTGTGATTGTCTATTGGTTACCCACAATACTTCTTGGGGACTCTCCCCCGGTAACTCTTGTCAACACTTGTTAATCTGACAAAAGGCTACAAATTAAGCTCTGTTAATTTAATGTTTTCTCACCGAGATCTAAATACCGAAAGAGGCCCAAAGCGCAACTGAAGTCCTTTGATTCACTGTACTTTATTTTGGTATAAATTTACATTCATTATTGTTTTCCTTTGGATGTGTAGCCCTCAATTAGTGTGATGGCTCCATTAAAGCAAGCGAGACTTCGCCTTTAATTATTACAACAAAACACCTAGTTTCAGCTTGGGGAGAGGGTCTCTATTGACATAAGCAGAGGTTATAAAATTTAATTAGCCATTCCTATCAGATTTATGGCATTCAAATTGTTCTGTGTTTCTTTCCTTTGATCCTTGCTGTACAATCCCCAAGATTTTTGTTCTGATCAAATGAGAATAAAGCTTACTGTGCAGAGAGAAGTTTTTTGTTGTGGTTTTTTTTTTTTTAAACCCTTTTTTTCTTTCTCTCATTCTCTCTTTCCCTTCTCTTTTGCCAGGCAAGGTCAGCCAGTGTACCCAATCACGACAGGGGGTTTCCGCCACCCTTACCCAACAGCTCTGACCGTCAATGCTTCCATGTCAAGGTGAGTTTAAATACTGAGGTCCTAAACCCAGAGCAAATGTAACTCCTTCTACTGCTCTCTCTGGAGTGCATTTCATCTAGGCAACATAATTCTAAAAGCGCTTTGGTGGGGTGGAGGAGGAGAGGGAGAGGGGTACCTTCCCATGTGAGGAGAAGGTGGTGTCCTAATGTTGTCACTGGGCTTCAAGGATTTGTTTTTGAGGGAGAGGTGGAGGTGCAAGAAGTCATCTTTAAAAGCCAAACTAAATGAAAGAGCTGGGAGAATGTAATGTTGAAAAAGCAAGGAGGAAAAGTCAAGCTACCTTTTGCTTTCTCAGTGACTACCAACCAGAGCAGCACTCTGTGTGCGAGAGGGAGGTCTCGGGAGGGAAGAGGACTGCTCTTCAAGCAGAGTTGGGAGGAAGGTTATTGCGCTGTGTTTTCCCCTACCAAAGCTCCAAACACTGATAGTCGACATAAAAGGGCCTGCTTGACCCTCTAAAGCTTTAGAAGTATATATTTCTCCCCCTCCCTACCTCCAATTAATTCCATCTAATTTTCTAGGGGCTGCTAGTTTTATTTACAAACTGGTTGGCAGCACTATGTTTAAGTAATCACTAATTGCTCCTAATGATAGTTTTATTTTCTGTTCATCTGATTTTCAGTCTGGTTAATTAAATCGGTGGAAGTTTAGACTTTCTTGATGGGCTGAAAAAGCTAATCCATTTTGATGATGGCACATAATTAAATTAGCATGCATTACATAGCAAGGTTCCACATCTCTTCCTTGCTCTGTCCCTTCCTCTTCATCTCTGCAGTTTAATATGTGAAGGTTGGTGTATAGATGATTTAAGGAGGAAAAGATTAGTGAGGGCTGAGGGGAAGCACAGCTCATTGAGAAATGGAAACCTGTACCTAAGCTCATGAGTGAATGGGTAGGGAAATAGTGTGTTGTGTGCTTTAGATAAGTAAACGAAAAGCAAAAAATTAAAATTTGTCCATGTTGGTCCAGCAAATAGACAGACAACTGGAAAATCAACTTTAAAAAGAAATTTTAAATTTTTTCTCCAGCCCTGTGGAGAAAAAATACTGGGTTGGGGAGAGAGCTGCAAATTTAAACAATGATTCCCTCCCTCTGTTTAATCTTCTTAAATATCTAAAAATACTTGCAGGCATGGTGTGAGGCAAAGTAGAGCTTGATTTAGTTTAATTATTATTACAGAGGCTAGTCATTTGAGGGAGGGGGGAGATGTGGAAGGGGGGGCTATATTCCCAAGATAGACTTTATGAAAGGTATCTAGTTAAAAAGAGTACACAGCAAATTAAATACATTATTGTGGTAATGGGACGACAGAAGTAGAGGTCTATTATACTTATGGCAGTTATAGGAAATGTAGGCTCCTTGCCCTGTTCTAGCACATCCTTTGATATTCATTCCATTCAGCAGCAGGGCCAGGACTTCTCAGAATTAAGTGATGGGTCATTATACTTTAAACACCATGGAGAAGCCTAGATTGGCAATTAAACAGCACTTGCTGACACTCGCTTGTGCCACCCTGTGACCCCCTTTAGATTGAGTTGTTGGAGCTCGGGGCCCTCAGCCTGCTAAATTGGTAGCAGGCACTTCTCCTGACGAGGGCTGGCTCTGAAATCTGCCGGCTTCAAAGGGAGCAAGATCATGTATAAACCATAATGTGGGTGCACCGTGGCTCAAAAAATAAGGCAGGAATAGATGAAATGTTACAAGTGCAAGGGGAAAATGAGAGAATAATGACAAATCTAATGCAACTCAAAGCAGAATTGTTGCACAGAAAAATGCATCCCACTGCTTGTGCATAAAATCAAGGCAGGCAGATGACATCCAGTTAACAGAAACATGTCAACAGTGAAGTAAAGTGAGAGTGAGTAAGAGAGAAGCCCCTGAGACAGCCAGGAACAAAAAATTAGTTGTCCTTAACAAGTTAAGACTCATCATTATATTCTGGCTTGGAGCCATAAAAGGAGACAGTGGTGTATAATGAGCTGCTTAGAATTTTTAGGGTGTTTATTGCAATTCATGGAGTACTTGTCTAGAGAAAAAAATATGGTGAATGTCTTAGGCGAAGGTGAGGGGTGTGCACATACACACATAGCCTTTCTTTTTATCTCTGACATGAGCCCTCACACACACACACACGCACACACGCACACACACACGCTCAGGCACACATGCAGAGTGATGAATAGATTTAAGATGTTTACCCTTTGTTTCAGCCCAGAAACTTCTCTCCTGGTTTCCCATAGATGGGAACAGCCTCTGGGCAGACCGTGCTCTGATACACGGTTCGAGGCGTGTTTCCTCATGCCTGCCGTATCAGCTGGAGTGCCTGGGCTCAGCCCTGGGACAGCCCTGGCCCTGAGTGGCCAGTGGAGTTGGGAGATGGAGCTGACATGCCCAGGGATGCCCACACTTGCCTGCAGACATGTTGTTCATGGCCCCTGGGCAACCACCCTGCAGGGCCCTGGGACAAGCCTTGGCTTTGCTGTGCTGGCTCTGCCCAAACACTGAAGCCAGGGCAGACCTCAACCTCACCCTCCATCCACAGTTTTCCAGACCCTTTCTTTAAAAATAGTTCTCATCTCTGCCTGCATTATGGTATAGATCTTTGGAGCATATAATGCTTCCCAGCCCTGAATGTTCCCTAAGCTTAGTAATTACAGTTTGTTCGTTAGCGTGTGCTTATGAATAGTTTATAAAAAGGTTAATGGGTGACTAATAGTGATTTTTCATAAATGGTTTAGGCTATTAAGGTAGTGTCTTCTGGTTGTTTTAACCATTTGTAACTCTTCGTTGTTGCTTGTAGCATTGCCCCACTCACTTTGTATGCATGCAGCATGCTTGTAACACCTCTTGATCCTTCATTACCCCTCTGTAATATGCCTTTAATGTAAAATGGGACAGGGTTAACTGACTGATGGGCAAACAGTGGACTCACTATGAAAAAACAACTGCTGTGAGAGGAAATCAGGAAATAATTTAGCAGAATTACACCAGACAAACACTACACAGCAGTTAAGTGGTGGCAGTGGAAAATACCTTCTGTAATTGAAATTTCGGGGGAAATTCACTTTTGCTGAATGTAATTACTGAAGTTGGAGTGCAGCCAGGAACTTAAAAATTAACACTCTTCCCCCACTTGTATTGCCATGTGAGTGGATGTCTGCCTGGAAATAAACAGGCAATCAGACTTTAGGCTGAAACCTCAACCAGCCCATTGAAGCCCATGGCATTGTGAGAGGAGCTGTGGGTTCTAGATCATGTTTTTACAGCCCCAAACAAAGGAAGAGATGTGTAAGTCCAATAGGCAATCTTGTATCTTGGAGAGATTCAGTATGAAAAAATGAATGACCCTTGGTAATGAACACACCACTTTCTTGTGGAAACTGCAAGCCCAAAAATAACTACTGGGCTACAGCTGCCTGTTAAGGAAGGCTGCTGGCTGTCCTTGGAGTTTAGAGCTCAGTGAGTAAAGTATCCCAGCTGAGGTCAGTGAAGGCTTCACCATCCTTCAGGCTTTCACACAGCATGTGCCTGTAGGTTTCTTTTCCTTCACTGTCCTTTCTCCCTGTCTAGTCACTCTCCAATGTGTAAATACTCTCTTTCTCCTGAACAGTAACTGGAAGTACATTTTTCCCATAATTAGGTGGGGAGGTCACATTTTTTGCAGATTTTCTTCACCCTCCTCTATCTTTCATGAGTTGAAGTACCTAAATCTTCATCAAAAACAAACAAATAAAATAACCCCTCTCTTTTGCTGAATGTGTCTCCTTTGAGTATCCTGATCATGCAACAGTCCACCATGAAGGCAGAGTTCATTTTGCAGTGCATTTTCATTTTTGACCAGTTCCTTGTTTCAGAAGCAAGTCTGTGACCCAGTTATCATGACCACATCACAGGATCCTCTACAGAAGCTTAACAAGTATCATCTTTTGTCCCCATTAACTCCATCTGTAATCAGCCTTTTGTTATACTTGGAAGCCCTTCTCCAATGATGAGTCTGATCTTAGTTCCATTCTCATACCCTTGCGCTATCACTGCACTCAGCTTTTTCCTCACTGGTATGTGCCCACGCCACTTCCTACTGAGCCCTCATGTCAGACAAATACAGATCTTACTGCCTGCACTCTGAAGGAAGGCTTTTCATCTCCATCTTCATCCTTCATTGTCCCCTTTTCACTGGCCTTGCTAGGCCCAGTAGCATAGTCCTCTGTTGAACACTGGATCTTGCCTAGGAGAGACAGTCATTCAATAGGACATGTGTCAACTTTTTATTACTATACTTACACCGCTTTCATGGAGGTCTATATTTTACCATCAGTTTTATTTTTGCCATGTTTGTAAGTTATTTAAAAAAAAAAATCTCTTACTGTCAGTTTTTACTGTTTGCATTGTACTGTGGCTGAAGGCCCCAGGCGCTGTGTGAACAAACTTTAAGTATGTCCAATCAAAATACATACACAGGAAAATAAAGAGAGAATAGAAAAAAAAATGATACAAAGGCCCAGTTTGTGTCTTGCTGATGGTGAGGCAGTCCTGTGGCAGAATTGGGACAAGAATGTCAGTTTCCTTTGCAGCCTCAACATTGTCTTCTGTTCTGACCTACCATGAATCAAAGTATATCCTCAAATGTATGCTTCTCTCCCAGCTACTTTTGTCAGAGGGTGGGAAGGCACTTGGACAATCCACTTGGAGATTTGTGTCTGTGAGTTTTTAGCAGAAGTAGGAATGACCATTTTGCTGCCCATTCTCTGCTTCCCTTGCCATCCCACTCTCCTCCTTCTCTCCATACCTTTGTTTGTGAGGAACTGCAATTCTCTACAACTTGAACAATTTCACATTCTCCCTGTCAGTCCTTGCTCTTCCTACCACTGCCTTCAAAGACAAAATACTTCTGTCTAATCACCCTGAGTACTACCAACTGATAGACAAAGATCCTCAGAGCTTGTGGTGGACAGTACTTCTCATTTATGGAAGTACTTCTGTGTCATCTTGTGAATGTAGGGAATGTCTAGGCAGTTGCAGGGGGGGGGTGTTAAGCTCAGTATTGGAATTTTTGAGAGAGGGAAAAAAAAAAAGAAATCCCATTATATTTCTGATACTTATGCACAGTCTACTGATCCATGGTGTATCACCGCATTTTAAATCATGTTGGATAGAAAAAAATCATTGTATACTGATGACAGAAGAAGTAATTATTTATCCCACTGAGTGTTCCATATTCTTGGGTTATTTTACTTGGACCAGATGGTTCAAAATCTGAGATGAGAGTAGGGATTTGCAGTAAGAAAAACCCTTGTCATTTGCCAGATCACTTTAGCTTTGGCGTGTGGAAGAAAGATATTTCTGAAATATTATTTTAGGCTAGATCCCATTCCCTGGAAACCCATTGACTTCAGTGGGAGTTTTCTGAGAGAAAGGCAGTCAGAGTCATATTGTGCTTTCCTTATTCACTGCAAAAACTTTCTGAGACTATTGACAAATAACAAGTCAATCGTGCTTTTGAGAAGTTTGTTCATTTTGGTTAAAGTGTAAAAAGTCTGAATGATTGTGCCGTGTTTGTGCTGTGATCCCGACCAGGCAATTAGATTCACGAAGAAGGATTGCACATCCCTCTGAATCCAGTTTCCTGTCCATGTATATGACCATAAACCATAAAGTTGGCAACATTTTATTCTCTTTAGAAAGTCTAGACTGTTATTTTGCATGAATTTAAGCTGTTCTACATTACTTTAATGGGTCAAATTTGATTAAATTTCACAATCTTCCCACCTTCTGTTAAAGAAATGTGGCTCAGAGATTTATTAGACACAAATAAATATTTTCTTTTGCTCCATCAACAAAATGTAGCTAATGAGGCATCTATAAGTATTATCAAAAATGCATCTAGAATGTGTTGGCATTAATATTTTATTTTGCTGTCAATATACAATAAAGGATGTCATCCTAAATTCACAACATGATTCAAAACTATAAAAATTGATTCCTTGGTTACCATAGCTAATTTCTTAGCAAAGAAATGGACTGGTGGATTTTGCTGCAGGTAGCTGAAATTCCACCTTCATACATGTTCATTCAGTTGAATTCGCCTTTTGTTAAAGATGTTAAAAATCATGATGTCTCATGTCAGTAATGATAATGAAGGGGAAGATTGGCTTTAATGACATTAGAAGAGTCATTATGTTTAATTTATTGCTAATTAATGCTGCCAGCTTTCATATGCTTTGTCTAGCTGTCATGTGCTTGTTATATGCCAGGGGTTTTTTTAATGTGTGTACACATCCCTCCCCATTCATTCATTTTTATTCTGACGATTTACACAGCTTTCTCTCCTCTAGGTTTCCTCCACACATGGTCCCGCCACACCATAGTTTACATACAACTGGAATTCCTCATCCGGCCATAGTCACACCAACAGTCAAACAGGAATCTTCCCAGAGCGACGTCGGCTCACTCCACAGCTCGTAAGTTTTTGCTTCTCTGTCTTCTTTTTAGAATACTTAAAGCATCACCTATGCATGTGGGGGTTATAAAAAGGATTAGGTTTGTGATAATGTTTTTGGTGTAAAATATTTTTTAATTGCTTTTTCTCTTGTGTTATAATTGATTTGAACATGGTTTAGTTGACAGAGTGTGTCAAAATGATGGTAGCAGTCTTTCAGAGTCATTCTGTGGCATAAGTCAAGTTGTTATTAATTTCACCTGTTTTAACAAGAAAGTGGCATTTTCTTGATCAAGATTCAAGTTTCTTGACTGGTTTCTCTGTTACTCAGTGCCTGATTTGAAGCCTTGAGATATCAGATACACCACAGGAGACAATAAATTAGAGCATAAATGGCTTGTTCAAAGCTGCAGAGAGCTGGTATCAAGTTAAGGTTTGAACCAAGGAGAGCCCTCATCTACCTCTGCCCATGGTGCTTCTGGTGCTTATTGCCTTTCATTTCACAGGTGATGCACAAAGAGAGCATTTTGGTTCCCACTGATGATGGGATGTAATTATTTCCTCTACCATCATGCTCACAAGCCCTCCCTCTGAACTTGTTTTACTGGATGTCCATGTCCTTCCAAGGCTTTTGCAGGGACCGAGAGGGTACTTGGTGATATTGCATAAATACGAGATGAGTTTTCCTATAATGCTCTTAAAACTATTTTCATACAGCAGCCAGGGCAAAGGCTCTAGGGAACCGTCTGGTCCTCTTCCTAGAGATTTCTGAGGATTAATGCTAGAGAGACTGAGGGGATTAATTTAATACATTCACAAGGGTTCTCACTGTGAGGTCTCTGTTGTATCTTTACCCTTCAGAAAACATCAGGACTCCAAAAAAGAAGAAGAGAAAAAGAAGCCACACATAAAGAAACCTCTTAATGCATTTATGTTGTATATGAAGGAAATGAGAGCAAAAGTTGTAGCAGAATGCACATTGAAAGAGAGCGCAGCCATCAACCAAATCCTCGGTCGAAGGGTAGGTAACAAGGGACAAGCACAAGCATGGACTGAAACTCGGTAGGATTCACACCTTCTGAATCCCTGTGTTCTCCTGCTATTTTGATAATGACTAGGGAAATTACTAAACAAAAGCCCTTGGTTTGATGTCTAGTTTTAGCAGATAGTTCTTGCCAGTGGGGTCATTTATGGGGAAGAGGAGGAGTTAATTATTAACAGTTTTATTTCAGTGTTATTTCCATGACCTATAGATGAAAAAATCTTAGATTTTTATTTTGTCCTAAGATAGGTAGAAATGTAAATAGGAAATAAAAAAGCTTGTGAGTACAGTATCAGTGTCAGCACCTGTGGGAGCTAGAAGAGAGAGAATGCCAGTGGAGAAGGGAAGGGGAGACTACCTCTAAAGCTGTGTTCTGACTCAGGACAAGTGGTTCAGCTTCTGGACCCTCTCCCTTGCTGTTTGTTTTTGTTTAGTTTTCTTAATTCTCCTCTCTCAACAGGAGACAAAGGGGCTGAGTGAATGTAAATGATTAGTTGTGACTCAGTTGAGTTAACTGGAGTTATAATCTGGAGTTATAAATAAAATATGAATGTCAGCATGCCAGATCATCTGTTTTTATCCCTTCTTTGTGAAAATCAATTCTGACTGTATTTATATATAAATATAATATACTTTGCTCTTAACGTGCTTAAAAAAAAACCCCAACCACTAGTGCTTTTTATTTTGTCTTTTTTTTTTTTCTTCACCTCAGTGGCACGCGTTATCCAGAGAAGAACAAGCAAAATACTATGAACTAGCAAGAAAGGAGCGACAGCTTCATATGCAGCTGTACCCGGGCTGGTCTGCACGGGATAACTATGTAGGTTCCTATGTAGGTGGAAATGTTTTTAGTAGTAGAGCTTGTAGAAATGTGTATGTGACCTGCTGAACTACGATCACACATTGTACACGAGCACTACTTGGAAAGCGTGCCTCGGGATCCCAGTCTGGTAACAACAACGGGCGCTTCCCTCTGCGGTACTAAAACTACTGGGGATAATTCCCAGCCCTCCACTTGGAAGAGGCTTCCTGGCTGGGACTAGTAAAGGGTTGGAATTGGGGCATGACAGTAGAGCTCTGTGAAGAAAGTCTTAATTTTGCTTTTACCAACATCTGGAAATGCTGTTTGGCTTGCTGGTCATTTTAAATTTCATTAAAAAAAAATCAAATTCCCCTAGTATGGCTCCTCTCCACCAAAAGAGATGAATAATAAGTGTCTTGTACTTACCTGTGTGAGAGTATAGTGGAAAGTGGAAGAATGACTTATCCTAGCTTCAGAGAAGGGCTGGCAAAACCAAAAGCATAACTTGTTCGAAAGTCTTACTCTCAAGTGGGGCTAAATTGATTATTCCATGCTCTACTGTAGTATATTTTGATTATTTTTTGCTTTTTCATGCCCATGTTACCGTCTTTTTCCCTCCCCTCCTCATTTTTCTAAAAAGTGTATTGGAATCTGTGGTCAATGCATGGATTGTTTTTAAGATTGATTCCTCCCTCTTTCTTTCAGAAAGCTTGTTTTGTAGCTAAAAGTGGTAGAATTTTCTGTCTCTTAAAAAAACACAAGGCCAGCTTTCTAACCACTTACTAGTATTATAGCTCCTTCCATGAAGGGTAAGCGGAGCAGATGGTAATAAGTGTTTGCAAGCCTAAGCCCATACATTCTTGAAACATTTGTGGATTGGTGGGAGCTCTAAACTCCTTTTAATAGGATTATAGTAGCATCTTGATTTTTTTTTTTCTTTTAAGGTAAATAAAAATCACCTAAAACTTCCAAGATCTCTAATTCTGGAATAAACCCTGTTCCCTGCCTTCTAGGCAGACTTCCCTGTGGGTTTGGGGACCAAGAGCTCTAAGATTGATGTCAGTTACATATAATGTTACACATTTTGCTTTTGTTGAAGTCTCTCTCTTCCATCCCCATCCTCATCACTGCCTGTTTTACCATAAATATCCTATTTTGCTGTATATGGCAATATTTGCCTCTGAGAATCTACACTTTTACATGCATGGGTGGGGAGAAGCTAGTTCAGAGTCTGCAGCAAAGCCCAGAGTAGCACCAACTCTCTGCACTCTTCTGCCATTTCAGTGGTGGAGAGTACACATGCTCACTTATTTAGCAATATGTAATTAAGGACATTTTTTCAAATCTTTGTTTTCTTGATCATCTTTTCTTTCTACTGGGCTCAGCCTTGCTCCCTGCTTCTCAGCATAGTCTGGCCTGAGGCTGTTAGACTATAGGCTTGAGGTAGTTCCTCAACACTGTGCAGTATCGTCGTCTTGGGTGTTCAAAGGGAGTATAGGCTCGACTGAGGTTTCAGGGATGCTCATTGACTGTGCCACTGACAGATGGGCACGTACAAAGCCTCAGTGTTTAGGACCTTTTACTTTTGTCCTCACCGTGTGAGCACTGAGAAACCCTTTCTTCTCAAGCTAAAAAGGACAGGATGAGAAAGCCGGTGCTTTCCCAGCGGCTTGATGCTGTACCCCCAAGTGACCTTCAGGGGGAACCTTCCTGCCTGAGGAGAGCATGGTATTTTTGCATCATCTGCAGAATTTATTTATGTCTCCTCTCCTGGTCCATTCACAGCTCTCCGAGTTACCCTCCTCCCTCAATGGTTTGTAGGGTTTTGAGCCCTTTACTCATCAAGCAGGGGAGTAACTTTGGGCTGCTTGAAGTGATTAAATTGTTAGGCATCTCACATTGGGGCTCAAGGATGAGGGCAGCTGCAGCCCAGGTCTTCAGAAACAGGAGCAGTACATTCAGGAAATGCAGCTTTCAGCCTGCACTTAAATAAGAGAAGAGTATTTGGGGAATCCTTCTTGGCTTGTTCTTGTCACAAGGCACATTTGCCTTCCTGAGATCTAATATAAGATATTAAGCCATGCTGAGTGTTGGTCTCAGAAGTATGTAAGGGTCTAGTCACCTCACCCACCACTTGTCTAGAAAATTAGTACCAAAGAAGTACTGCATTCATGTCAAACCCCATGTTGGTTTGGTTCTGTAGAGGGAGCTGCCAAAATGGTTAGCAAGTATTTATATCTATATTTATGTACTTGCATCCTAAAAATTTGTATGGTACAATGACAGAAAATGTCACAATCTGCTTGAGTCTTAGGAGGACAATCTGTGGCAAAGGCAAAACGGTGCCTTCTGCAGAGCACTTGCAAAAGTGCTGCCATAGTTCTCTCTTAAAGTCCATATGTTAATTTAGGTGCGTAGTCAAATATCTTCTTGTATCTGAGGAACTGAACAAGCAAGCCAGGTGATTCTTCTCCCTGTTTCCTTTGAAAAAGGTATAATAGAAGTTAGTGGGACCTCTGTCAGTTCTTTGTTAGGAACAGTTTTCAAAGCTTGTGTTGAAAAGGAACCAGAAATTCCTGGTCCCTGGCTGACATTCCTGTAAATCAGATGTTTTTAACAGGGCATTGCAGTGCTTTAATACCTGGCTTGAAGAGTTTGTGAAGGGCAGATAACTCCTCACCTCTGGTCTGGCTGGCCCTCATCTGAAGAAGTTATAAGGTCTTAAATTGAAATAGCCCTTGAATTCCCAAATGAACTGCTAAAATTAAGCAAATTTATCACAGATGCAGTCTATTAATTATGGAAGTGGCCTCCTTGAGATTAAATAAAAATCAGGCTTATGATCCTGAGGCAGTTGTCTGGTTTTGGTTACATTGTTGAAAGCTGGAAAATATCCACTGACTTTCACAGTTACTGTCAATCTAGATCAATATAGATGGAGCAGAGTCTGAGCCTCTTGTATCTTTATGTGATATGTGGATTTCAAGATACTATATTTTCCCTGTTCTGTTCTCAAGGAGCTTTAGGAGCAATACTTGTCTGTCTTGTCTGCCTGTCTTGTTAGACTGATGGTTGCTGTAGCAATTGACAACTTTCCATATCCCCAAAAAATTACCTCAGACGTGTGGGAGATGATTTGTCAGCAGCATCCAGGATACAGGATTATGTGCATGTTGTTCAAAATGCCTTTAAAAATGGATGGTGCACACAGCTTTTTACATCTCCAGAAGGATCTCATAAACCTGGAGCAGCCTGGGCAACAGGATGGAAGTTTACAGCCCTGAGAAAGAAAGGAGGAATGAGTACAGAAGCCCCATGCCACAAGGGCAGCTTTGGGGAGGAAAAACAGGGCAACAACAAATCAATATCCTACTTTCACATTGGGGGAATTTTTTACTAATACCTTCTAGGAAACCTATCATAATGAATGTCCCAAATGTTATAGTGCATGTGACACACTGAAGCCAATCTTGACCTTCTGAGAAGGGTGCCCATCATGTGGGAGAACCTCTTGGCTTTCCTACAATACATCTACCCCTTCAAAAGTGCTGTGAGATTCCTTCTTCCAAGACACGTTTGTTGTCTCTTGACCACAAGGGACTGCTGCTCTGGGGTCTTCTCGCTGATTCTTCTTACTGCCATGTCTTCAAAAGTCAGGATCTCTTGTGCTGTTCAGAGTTGACACTGATGGCCCAAAAGTCGTTGCTTTTAGCATCTGGGGAGTTGTGAAAATGAAATTACTCTGTTGCCTCCACTGACCTTGTTGTACTGCTCTGCAAACTCTGTACATCAGTGTTAGAAGAGTTTTCCTGGAAAAAATAGCTTTTCTCTTTTGAGCTATGCTTATTACTTTCTAATTTTTGTATTGGAAAGCAATCACTGGGTTTCCACAGAAGTTGGACTCCTAATTGTCCTCTCTCACACTGTTGGAGGGAAATTGAGAAAAGGATTTTCTCCCCACAGTCAAAAACCGTAGCAAATTGCATCGTCTTGTGGTACAGTGGGAAAGGGACACAGTTTAGCAAAATATTACTGGTTATTTTCATTGTGATAGAGCAAAATGTGGGAAGGCTCTTGGCTATGTCTGGATTTTTTTTCTTGTCCTGGCATTGCTTTCTAGGTTGTCAGTGCACTTACAAAACTGCAGGTTAGGATTTGCTCATTGCTGTGGCTTCCTTGTCTGCTCTAATGGTTGGGTTTTGGTGCTGAGGAACTCCAGGGGCTCAGTCTGACCTCACTCATGTACTCTCCCTGCTTCAATCTCCCTGTTCTTTCCCTCCCTTCCTCACCAAAACATGACCACAAACAATTTCTGAAACTTCAGGATGCAGGAGCGTACACACACGTCAAATGTTTTTGTCTTCGTGATGATCTCAGCTCAAAAGTAGCATCTTGCAAGTCATTTTCCCCCCTCCCCAGCTGCTCATGGCTTTGGTGGGTGTTAACATTGGGGGGAGCTGCAGTGAGGCTGTCCTAAAAGTCACAGGGAAGGCAGGCAGAGCCAATCCCGGCAGCATCTCCTTGGGGTCCCCCAAACTTCCCTGCACCAGGGGTGAGCTAGTGCTGGACTTCAGTGTGCTCCCTGGGGAGCTTCCCACACCAGCCACAGCCTCACTACTCAGTGCTGACTTTCAAGGACACTTGTTTTGGCTTTTTTTTAAATCATTCTCCTTTGTGTATGTTTCCTGCAGGGAAAGAAGAAGAAGAGGAAAAGGGATAAGCAGCCAGGAGAGACCAATGGTAAGTAAAAATAAGTCTAAATCTCTTGCTTAGTGGAAGTGTGGCAATCCTGGTGTGACCCTTCTAGGCACGGGGGAGGTGGGTACAGGTCTCCTGGCCTCAGGGGAGCCGGTCCCTATACTAGACAGCTTTTTTTTTTAAAATGCACTCCAATTATTTATGCATTACTGCCCTTCTAAAACTAGTAACCCAAACCACTGCATGTGAGAGCCTCGTGTGTCATTAGCTGAATTTGTACTTAGTAGTTGCCAAGCCTTTAACTGCAGAGCCGTAGTTGTAATGCCTATGCCATCGTTGTTAAAGTTGTCCGCTTATTGTGCGCATATGTGTGTGTGTGTGTGTGTGTGTGTGTGTGTGTGTGTGTGTGTGTGTTTGGTATTAATTTGGGCTGTACCTGTGTGTTCTGATGCATGCCTTACAGTGGTAAATCGCACCCATTTTAAATTAAGGAGGTTTGCCATTCTATATATATAGGAAATTAGAAATACTGCATAGGCAATCTCATAGTCAATTTCGAAGAAGCCCTAACTTAGTTTTTTTGAAGCCTTTGTATAATTTGTTCTTTTTTTTCAGAACACAGCGAATGTTTCCTAAATCCTTGCCTTTCACTTCCTCCGATTACAGGTGCTAACGTCATTTTGAGTCATTTAAAATAGTTTATAAACTGCTTTTTAATTTTTTTTCCTGCCATTATAGATTTTAACATTAAACACTTATGACATTAAGAAAAAAATACCATCCACACGTTTTGATAGTATTTATTATCTATATATCTTTATATCTATTATGTTTGATAGTATTTTTTAATTTTGTTTTTTTTTTTGTTTTTGTAACAATTGCTATTAAAACAGTAATACAGTAAAAATAACGCAAGAGTTGTACTAACTGTGCAAATTGAATATGCAGTATTTCTTTAAAGAGACTGATAAAGAATGGAAGCAAGTCAGTAATGAACCTCCTTAATCTAATGGCATTTTTCATGACTCCCACTAAGTCTTCTCACATTAGCATGCATACGCATTTTTTTATTATTATTTTAGTTTTGGATTTTTTTTTCCTTTCTGCTCAAGCCGCCTATTCATTGCAATTCACTGCCTGTACTAACTCAGCACCTTGCCATGCTTTACGTTTTATTTTCTGGCTGATACTAACATGCTCATTTCGCAATCTGCTTATCCTTATCCATTCTTTTAAATACAAATTAATAAAAACAAATAAATTGAATGTTATTCCAAAAGCTGCATTATCCCAGGAGATATGATTTTCTTTTTTTTCTTTGTTTTTTTTTTCTTATTTTGTATCTGAGTTGAAGAAAAAAGCATGTTCAGGATCTAACTTCCATACTCAGCTTCTTTTCTTCCTTTTCCCCCCCCTCTTTAAAAAAAAAAAGAGAATAAAAAAAACCCAGCCCAAATAAATATTGCCTGGAACATTCTGCTAGACCAACCACAATGACATTCCTCTACCTGCTCTCTTAAAAGGGAAAGAAACAGTCCTTTATAAAGGGATACTGCAGCTTTAATTGCAACAGCTAATCTCAAGAGTTGAATAAAATGTGATTATCACTTTCTTTTTAACTTTTAAATCAAAAGTCAATATTTGCAATTAATAACGAGGACATTGATTTTTATTCCCTTTTTTATTTTTATTTTTCCTTATTTTTATCTTTCTCTTTTTTTCTCTCCTTTTCTCTCTTCCTCTCTCTCTCTCCCCTCTCTCCCCTTTTCTTTTTTTTCCTCTCCCTTTTCTGCTCGCTTTTCTTGAACTCATTCAGACCTGAGCGCTCCTAAGAAATGCCGAGCGCGCTTTGGCCTTGATCAACAGAATAACTGGTGCGGCCCCTGCAGGTGTGTATAGTTTTCCCAGACTCGCTATGGCTGATTTGCAGCTGGTTTATTTGGTACTTTCCCCTTTTTTTTCTCCTGCCTTGTTGCTTTGTAGCTCTGTGTTGTGATCTGGAAGACACAAGGGAGTGGGACACTGCCATCAGTTATCGTCTCTCTGAAAGGATTTTGCTTTTTTTTTTTATTTTGTTGGTTGGTTTTTTTTTCGCCTTTCTCTTTGCTGCTGCTAGCCAAAAACCCACTGTAAAACAGCATCAACCATAAGCCCATCTGATCTGTGGCTCAGCCACACTTCTGCTGTCCCAGCCTCCACCCAAGGAAAGTCACTCCCAAAGCCCTTGAGTGCGGTACCAACACCAGAACAGGCACGTGGCTGGGTCGGAGGTTTTTTTGGTTTTCCTCTGGCTCATTGTGAAAGTCCTGTTTTCTTTCCTGCCCTTGGTACGAGGGGAGATTACCAAATAAAACGGAGGTGACTGAAAGCTAAACGTAGCTGTAGCTAAGATGACGCAGACCAAATGAGCTCTATCCACCATTGTGTTGTATTTTTTGTGTTTACCTTATGCTAACAGATGCAAATACTCCAAAGAAGTGTCGGGCATTGTTCGGGCTTGACCGACAGAGTTTATGGTGCAAACCATGCAGGTATAATACTACCCATTAGGCCTTTGGGGAAATAAAAGCAATCTGTCCTCTTAGTGCATTTGTGTGATTTTATTTTTTTAATCTTTTTTCCCCACTCCCCACCTTTCTCTTTCCCACAGCATCAATTGCTAATAATCTTTGATCTTTTGAATTTCTTGCTAATTTAATGCCATTTTCTCTCTTTCTTTACCAATAACCTCTCCCTGGTGGTAGAACTGGGAACAAGAAAACTCGAAGTTCTTAGAACTGGCAATTATTTTTTTGCCTTTTTTTTGCTTATTTTTTCCAGATTGCCAGCAAAAATAGTGTTTAGCTGGATAGTTTATATTTTGTCTTTCATTCGTGTCTATGCTGCCTCCAAAGGCTTTTTAAAAAGGTTCTGGGATCTGCAGCACTAGTGTTTTTCTCATGATCAGAGATGTAAAAGCCAGTGTTTACAGCTTATAATGTATTCATTTTTTTGGTATCATCTGCAGAATCAAATAGCCACCTGTAGGCTTCCATACCTCAGTAAGGTTTATGTATATACCATTTTTTAAAACGATCTGATGTCTTTTTTTTCTGATTCCAAAAATAAGTTTTTTCCTAAATTTTATCCCTGTGAGTGAGCTGTAAACATCTGTGCTCTAAACAAAACTAATTGCAACTTCAGTAACACAGTTTCCAGCATTAAAAGGAAATTAAAGATATCAGAGAGCCCAAATTTCGGCAGCCCATGTTCTACTGGAGTTTAATTCCATGTGTAACTCAGTACGTACTTCTTTCTTGGTGGAGGGATACCGAGTAGTTCTTTTCTCATTCCTTTTTCCTTATATGATCGCATTTGGTTAAATTTGTTGTTTCTTTATTCTGATACAAGCAGTCTTTGAATTTGGAATATTATGATGGTAGGTATTTCAACCCAAACCGCTCTCTTTGTGTAGTGATTCCTCTCCCACATTTTCCCCTCTTACTCATGCCAGTCCCATGTGCTCCATCTCATTTAGAATGTAGATCAGACGTCCATCGTATTTTGTGTATGCACGCAGTCTTGTTTGTGCTTAGTGTCCAGGAAAACACAGATCGAGGGTGGCGGTGTGTGTCAGTATATACCAGATAAGGCACCAGAAATGACTTCAACAGGTTGCATATAGTCCCATTTGAGACATGCTGTTGGGCTCTTAGATATCAGCACCAGTACGTATGTTAAACAAGCTTGGAAAGCAGCAGTTTCTTGAAGCTTAAAGGAAGTAGGGTTCAGTCCAGAGGAGCTGGATAGCTACTTCAGTGTGTCAGGAGGCTCAAGTCTCACTCTAGCCAAAGACTCCCATGCTGTGTTTAGTTAGGCTCTATTCTGTGGTTAGCTCGCTGCACACTATCAGCTGATATTTGTGTAGTCTAGAGATAGAGTATTTGAAGCATGTCAGACTCAGTGTGCCAAGTACCAGAACTGGGGGCACATCATGTTTGTGTTGTTTTATCTTTCCCTGGCTGCTTAAGTAAACAATATACTTTTAAAACTACATTTTATCAGCAAGGGGACTTTTTATTTGGTCTATACGGTGCTTAGGTTACATGGGAAGCATAAACCCTCTCTTAACTTACGCCAAATTTTGGTCAGAAGTCTTTGCAGCACATCAGGGACAACTTCAGTGGTATAGCCGACAGCTTTAGACTTACTGATACAGAGTTAACTGCTTTTCTTTTTTAGTTTGTTTTTTTTTTCTTTTTTTTTTTTTTAATGCATGGAGGCATTTTATCACTAGGTATTAGTTGTAGGTATTTCTCTCCTAGTTCTGGTCCTAACCATCATAACATTGCATTTGCTAGCATGGTAGCATTTTTGTAGTGCATCTTAGGTGCTAAAGATGTCCAGTTTGCTACTGTTATAAAAACTGAGACATCTTTGCTCACAACAGCTGAAGAAACTCTTGTCATCCTCTGTGGCTTTCACTCGTGGCAATTGCAGCATTACAGGTTTCCTGGTGCTGTCCCAGGGCTAGTTTTAAGGGCAGCACAAGTGGGGTCAGGTCTGTTGGTATTTACCAGACTGATGGAGCAGCTGATGTCTTCAGAGCGACACGCAGGTGAATAATCCTCACTAGTGATTCTGAGGGGGGATGGGTAGTATTTTTATTACAGCTTTTAGGAGAGCAAAACTGAGGCACAAGTAGTTCCTTAGATTTTTTCTTATTCTCCTTCACCAGAGTTGCCTGGTGTTGTTCACTTCTGTTAAAATTAGTCTTGCATGGGGTTTTGCTGTCCGTGCCTTTTGTCCCACATGTACATGTACATGTACCTGACCACAGGTAGCACATGGTGGGATTGACACAGTCTGGAGAAATGTCTCCCCCCCTTGAGCCATCATAGTTGAAGTAAATGGCTTTCCAGTGGCCACACTGTTAACGAGTTTAATATACAGCAGAAGCAGAGGAAGCAATCTGCTCCCTTAATACTAATCAAAGGAAAATTACTTCAAGTAGCAGAGCAATGAGTTTAGTTTTAAAAAGGTTGTTAATTTTGCAGAGTCGAAAAGTCAGGTAGACCTGGTTTAAGGCTGCTTTGCCATGGAGGCTCTTTCTTTCAGGCCACAGAACTTAAATAATATTAAAAAAAAATTGAAATGCTGGCATACTAGATTCAAACTGCCTCCAGTTAAATAATTAACTGCCTTGTAGGTTCAGTTAAATGACTTCTGGACCCCCATCAATGAGGCAGGCAGAGCTTGAGTCTCTGCTTGCAAGTAATTTTAATTTGATGATGGAGAGGGAGTCCTGCACTCTCCAGATTGTAAGAATGCACCTTTCCACACAAGTAATATTGGTGAGCTTTGTGAAGCTTCAACTGTTCTGCTTTGCCACTGGAGCTGTACAGAAGGTCCAGACATGAACTGAACCCCAGGTAGCGCTGCACAGCTGAAGCTAGAAAGTGGTGAGAGAGGAGAGGGGAGAAAGAGCAGCAGAATTGTCTTTAGTCAAGAGCCAAAGACTATCCGTGGTGTTTGTTGATTGTAGAAGAATTAACAGGTTCTGTTTTGAGCCCACCAAATTAATTTTTTCTGTCTTTTAACGTTGCTCTAATAAAGCATGGTTTACAGCCTTCACTTGCTGTCTTCTATCTTTCTTTCTTTCTTTTTAACATTTAAGTTGCATGGTTGTCTTTAGTTTTTTAGCATGTATTGATCTGCAGGCTAACATGGTTAAAACTCTAATAGCCCTAACCCCTTACCTTGCCATGTGGAATGTGGAGCAGAACATGAGTCTCTGGAGGAAGGGATATCACAGCACTGGTCCCTCACTGAAGATGGTAAAAGATGGGTTGCCAGGGTTGTTCTTCCCTTCCTGGCTATGGGACATGATATTTTTTACTTCCAGGATCAAGCTGGTTTGATCTCCCTTGTGGTCAAGAAGCATCTAGCCCCATTGCCTAGACGGCAGAGCTTGGTTTAACCCAAGCACGGTTACCATACATAGGGGAGAACACTGGCGACCAGCAGTGGATTTGGGACACCTGTGCAAGTGAGGAATGACCCAGTGACCCTCAGCTGCTGTGCCACACTCAGGCACTTCCTCTGATGGAGTTTCTGAGCTGGGGCAATGTATCCACAGGAGGGGCAGAGCAACCTACTCCTTCACATTGGCGGCTTTGTGCAGCTTAGCTGAGCTTCCAAAGTTTTTGTGGCAGAGCTGCTCTAGGCAGACTTTGTCAAATGCCTTGAGCTGTATTACAGTGCTTCAGCACTTCCCATGGAAAGTGTGCTTGTGAGTAGGAGGGCTGGAGAGCCAACATTCTTAGGGTCAAAGTGGCCACTGAACATCATTCTGCCAGATGCTGTGGTTGTTCGCCTCATTATTTCTGTCCTACTGCTAGAATTGTCTTGCATATACTTGGCAAGAGAGATGGTGTGAAACTGTCATCTGTTTTCATTGCTCCTTGACATTGTTAAGTGGACAGAGGGAGGAGAAAAGATCTCAGTCGGGTCACTTGTTTATTAGAAGGTGAGCGGCTCTTGCGAGACTCTCGTATTCCCTGGTGTGAAATAAGCTCCATGTTGCTCTTCACCTTTGTACCTGTCATCATGCTTTTCACCTACCAGTTACATGGATGGCCTCTCAGAGGAAAATTCCCCAAAATACAGATGAGCAGCTTCCCAAATCTACCACTCTCCCCTAAAACAAAAAGTAAAACTGAGTCGATTTAAAGCCACAACCTGCAGGCCATACAACCAGTTATTCTTGTTATTTTGGATCATGCTCTGTTTATCCTGTTCTTTTCCTGTTTTTTCTTCCGTTTGCTTTGTTTGTTCGTTTTGTTTTTATTTCCCCTCTCTCTCGTTCTCTCTATTATATATATCCCTCCTTTCAGACTCTTGACATTTCTGGATTTGGTGTGGTTCTTAACAGAGGAGAAAGCAATGAGCGGTAGTTTGCAGCTGTTCTTGCCTCCCAAGGGCAGGGCATCGTAAGAGACGACAGGTGACACAGGTGTAGCCCTGTTGAGTTGGACAGCATTATGGGACATCTTGAGATACCATCAACTATCCAGAGTTTTTATTTTAGAAGGATTAAATTTCTTTATTCTTTTTTTTTTCCATGGAGGAAAGTTTGCAGATTAGCACAGTGGGCTGCAAAACCCACTTATCTGATTTTCTGATTATTAAAATAAGGAAACGAGGCAGCCTGAAAAGCAGGGGGGGGGATGAAGACACAATTGGTGAATCCTTTCCAAATCTTTTAGCCAAGGGGAGGTTTCCAAGTGGGCTTGGTGCCGAGAACACCCCGCCAGACCCCCAGGATGGCACATGGGGCCAGGGTGCCACCCATGCAGAGCCCAGAGTAGCAAATGGATGGCTCTTTGCTTTAGATAACTGTCTCCATCAGCATCTCTGCCCTCTATTCACAGATAACTCTCTCCCTGTTTCTAGGAGAAAAAAAAAGTGCGTTCGCTACATACAAGGTGAAGGCAGCTGCGTCAGCCCACCCTCTTCAGATGGAAGCTTACTAGACTCTCCTCCGTCCTCCCCTGCCATGCTCGCCTCCCCCTCCAGAGACTCGAAACCACAGACTGAACAAACACAACCCCTCTCGCTCTCATTGAAGCCCGACCCGCTGGCACACCTGGTGATGATGCCACCACCATCCTCGCTCGTCCTCGCCGAGAGCGCTGCGAGCAAGCCCGGCGCCCTGCCTGCCGCCAGCTGCCCCAACGGGGCCCTGGACCACCCGCCGGCCGCCCTCCCGCCGGCCGCCGCCGCATCCCTAGCACAGCCCTCGACGTCCTCCTTGCATTCCCACAGCTCGCTGGCAGGGACACAGCCCCAGCCGCTCTCCCTCGTAACCAAGTCCTTAGAATAGCTTTAGCCTCGTTAGCCCTTTCGGTTTTCTTCGGGGGGATTGAATTCTGTTGGTGTTTGGGGTTTTGTTTTTTTTTCCTTTTCTTTATTTTTTTTTCCTTCTCCTCCTCGTTGTCGTCCACTGTTTGTCGTCGTTTCTTGGTTTTGTTTTTAATTCGTGCCATGTGGCTACATTAGTTGATGTTTTATCGAGTTCATTGGTCAATATTTGACCCATTCTTATTTCAATTTCTCCTTTTTAAATATGTAGATGAGAAAAGCCTCATGATTCTGCCAAAATTTTTATCAACAGCTGTTTAAAGTCTTTGTAGCGTTTAAAAAATATATATATATACATAATTGTTATGTAGTTCCAATAGCTTAGTTTTAAAGACTGATTTTAAAAATTAAAAAAAAAAAAGAAGCAATTTTGAAGCAGCCCTTGCCGGAGGCATTGGTTCTTTATTATTTGTATTAAATACGAGCTTGCGAACCAATCATTTTACATCTGGTTTTTAAACCTTTAAGGGCACAATGAATGCAGTGCCGCTACTACTTCTTTTTTTTTTCTTCCTTGTGTGAAACAACCTTTATTGTGATGTTACTTGTTATTGTTTAAATGTACAGAAACAAAGGGTTAAAAAATGTGTTAATATACCTTGTTCCATGGTGTTGTTCTTTTTGGGGGAGGGGGCGCTACTCAACAATTAAAAGTATCACAACGCTATTGGACCAGTAGTATTTATTGCTTTAGAAATTGCTTGTTGTATCTGTATGTTGTCCCTTTTTAAATGTTTTTTTCTTCCTTCTTTTTCCTTGAAACATTGTATAAAGGGGTTTTTTTTTCCCTTAGTGTAAGCATCTTATATATAACAACTCATTTGTACAAGGTTTTTAAGTTTATATATAAATGTGTATATATATATTTTTTCCGGGATTTTGTTCTTGATTTCTTTTCGTGATTTTTTTTTTTTTTTTGTGCTGTATGAGATACAGTTGCCACCAAATGGACATTTGCAGATGCATTTTTTCAAGGATCAATAGTGTAAAAAATAAAATTGCTTTAAAAGCCATTACACACAAAAAGACTTGAAAATTTAGCAAGGGAATTTTTAGCAACGCTGTTTGGAAAAATAGCAAGGTCCAAATGTCTCCCGTTCAGAACTGCAGCTGAATCCCCTGCGACATTAGGACTGTAGGCTGTGTGCAAAATTTTTATGTGCCAAAATTCTCAGTGACTTTTAACTTTCTCCCGACAACTTTATTATTTTTTTTAATGCTGTAATTTTTTTGTTCATCATGTTTTGCTGTGATGTTACATAGGTAGATATGTATGTAGTTTTAATGTCACCTATAACAGACGTGTTTGGTAGCAGATTGTCCGGAAAGCATTTAAAATGAAGAGGTATAAACCCTTAAGGGCCAAATTCTGTATATTAGATTATTCATAAAAGGAAAATCAGACTGCCACTTTTATGTACACTTACTACATACAGGTAGGTAGCAAACTTAAAACAAAAAAAAAACTAGGCATGTTGATGTTGCAAAAAACGCTGTATAAAGCTGAAAAATTGTTCATCTGTTCATTCAGTGCCATTGTAGTTGACATGAAGCGATTGTAAAACTGTCTCAGATTTTTCTCTGGTTTATTAAGATGCTAACTATAACATTTTTTGTGAATACTTTGAATGTTTCCTAACAGTTGTGATGTTACTGTTCCGTTTTATGCTCTTATTCCGATTTTCATTTTTAATGGTTTGGAAGCCATTTTTTGTAATGAATAAATGTTCATGCTGTACAGTATCTGTAGCATGCAGTTCTGGATTAATAAAAGCAACTTAGTATGTGCAGAGATGACTTGTCAACTCATTTATGCGTTGACTGCACTTTATCTGGCCAGAAAGATTTACAGGCCAAATGGAAAACTTCCTGGAAAAAAATCTGTGAAAATTGTGGCAAGTTGCAGCCTGTTCTAGTTGTGAGAAATCCCGTTTCCTTCGGGTTCCCATAGTACTGCCTATGAAATGCATTTGCACTGACCCTCTCCCTGCTCGGCACACTTTTGCATGAATATCAGTGATTGAAAATCCTTTTTATTTAAAGGAAATGGCACATGATTTGGCAAAAGACAAATGGCATGTGGGCTAAAGGAATGTCGTCCTTCTGTGTGAAGTGAGCCTGACTGGGGGACAGGAGATCAGGGCTGATGATAACCTTTAATTTTCAAATGTTTCTGTTGAACCTGGTGATCCCACAACACAGGGCTACAAGGGTCACACAGGAGAGCCCAGATAGCCCTAATTAGTCAAAGTCCTTATGCTGGCCTTAGGGTTTATCTCCTGGACACAGATTTAAGTCCAATTTTGCACTTTTTTTAAGTGCAGTGAGCCCTTGCAGCACAGCCTGTTCTTAGTGCTGAGCATCCAGCATCCAATTGACACAGCAGCGCCTGCAGATGCTGTGGGATGGGAGTGAATTTACATGCAAGAATTTTTATTACATGGTTGATTTGTTTGAGTTTTTTAAGCTTAGTGGGGATTTAAACATAATTTCCAGGAATCTGTCACAAGTAGATGTCACCACAGCCCCAGTCATCTTGAAAATCTCAGTCAGAGTAATTCCTATGGCACTCGAGGGCAATGGAATGTAAAGGTCTCCAAGCAGGTTTGTGCAGGTGCATTGCTCAGGTAGTGCACTTCAGTTGTCTTGATGGGCTCTGCAGCAAGGGTAAGTATTCTGCAGAGATGTGGAAACAGGGCCATTTTGGTAAGTCCAGTCCCAGTGCTGGGACACTGCTGTCCCTTACTGTGGGGTCCAATAAAACCAAAACTGGCTACAAAGTGTTTGTTGGCTGCAGAAGGAGTTTGCTTTGTGAGGGGCTGGGAGGCACAGGGCGAAGTGCTAAATAATGTTTAAACAATATATAGTGCTTTAAATTGCTAACAATTACTAATTTACACGCCAGAAGCCTTTTGTTTATTTGTTTGCTTGTTTCTTTAAATGTGTTAATGAAGGGCAACATAACTTGCTTCTTATGTCCAATTAGAAGGATTAAGTCGTGGTGAATTTTTTACCAGGCTCCATTTATCTCCCTTGATCCGAAGCCTGATGGTGTTTTTGTTGTGGTCTAACATTATGCTCCCCTTGACTTCAGCAGAACATGTCCCCTCATCACCCGTGACAGGCACATGGGCAGTGTGGGTGGGACAGGGCTCTGTGATGGAGAAAAGGACATTGCTGTAAAGCCTTTGTGCAAGGTGCCAAATTTTGCTGTTGGTAGCCAGCAAATTGAATGCAATGCTCAAATAACTCTCCTGCTAGTTAAGGTTTCTAGGGAATTTTTTTTTTCCCCTAAATGTTTTGACTCCTGCTAGAGCACGGCCATCCATCAGCCAGACACATGTGCTGCATCTCTACTGGGGATAGCTGCTCTCTTCTAAAGTAAGGCATAGTGCTCCAGGGAGATCTTTGAATGCCATGATTCAAAGTAGACACCATCAAGGTATGATTCATATATTCAGCAAAATACTGTGCTCTTTGCTTGCTCCTTTATTAGCAAACTTTGGAAAGCAGAGTCCAAAAGCACCGTTCCTGCACAAATTGGTTTTCCTTCTGTGTGTGTGTTTGAAAGATACGCTGAACAGAGCTTGCAAGTGGTGGATAACTTGTGCTGGGAACTTGTTTGCTGTGGAAAACAATTGTATATTCCTGGGAAAGCAACTGCTTGTGTTTCCTATAGGTTGTGCCATGGCTTCATCCCTTACAGGGTTTATGCCTTCAAATTTGCCTCCAATTTCCCTTGCTTTGAGGAACTGAGCTGGGTCAAGGCTCCTAGGAGAAAATTCCCATTATTTATAGGTACTACCTTTGTGCCCAGGAGTTACAGCAAACGACCCCATCACTCCAGGTACACTGGAAACATGGTGAAAAGACATCCCTTCCTATACACTGTAGGTGTAAAATAGGGTGAGTAACAGACCCCAGGGGTATGACCTGATCACCGTGTTCACCTCCAGATCCACAGAAGTGAGGGCAACTTCTTGAGTGGGGAGGTGACAAACTGGCATGTTCTGTCCTTGTACAGGGCTGTCACAGGACAGTGTGGAGCCCTAGTACAATAGGTAATTAACTGTAGCTGTTGCTTCCCTCTGTTTTTATGGACTAAGGCAAGGAAGGAAGTCAATGTATTGCATGTTTGGGAGACATTTATTTTCTATTAGTTTTGTAAATCTCTTTTTTCACTTAATGTATGGAATTTTAAGAAGTTTAAGCAATTGCTGACTCAATAAAGCAGTGCCACATGGTTTTAAGCTTTGCTTAAAGAAAGGAAAGGCAGAAAAAAAAGAGCAATCTTTAGAGTCCTGTTCATTTCATTAGATCATAAAAAAGATGTAAAGAGAATTTGCAGTTAAATAGTTGCATAGGCCATTGCAACAATCATGAAAGCAAAATAATTATTATTACTGTTATTATTATTGATGACAATACTACTACTAATAATAATAATAATAAAAAACAACATGTGGGACAATGCTGCCCAGCTCTGTCTGGCATACACGTAAGAGCACTTTATCACCTAAGATTCTGGGTAAAGTTTTTGGATGCTGTTTTGAAAGAGATGCTCCAGCTAAAGACTAAATTCAGTACAGGACCAAGATTGATCTTCAGTGATCTTTGTTGAACGGGAAATCAAAAGCTCTTTGAGCCTTAAAACTATGAATATTTTAATTTGCTCAGAGATTGTAGCAATTGCTATATTATAAAAAAAGGGTAGCTACTTTGGCATTCATTTTAAGATGTCCTCGGAAAACATCTCGAGACTTTTAAGGCAGATCAGCTATAAGTGAATGCATCCCAAGCAGCCATCATTGTCAATAGTGTAACCAACACATTTAGTGTAGTCTTCCAATCCCTGGACCAATTTTTGTCTGGGATCAATCAAAAATATTATTGCATAACTTTCATCCATGATCTAGGAGTTGTTCCTTTTCTGAGGTTGGAAATGCTTTTAAATTTGGGGTGGGGGAGTGTTAGTCTGGACCTCTAAGACAGTTGAGAACATGAAGTCATGCTCTCTGTCCATCTGTTTGACCCTCTCCTGATAATTCTTGGATACTCTGGCATTTTGAACTAGATTTGACAGCGGCAGTCAAACTCTCAGAGATGATAAAGTCCCTCTGAGTTCCAGGGAAATCTCTGCCGGCACTGAGAAGAGAGGCTTTCCAGATCCACTGCTGAAGAAAAGGCAAGGATAGTTCAGCTGTTATCCATTCTTTCTGGCAGCATCCAGATGGCCAATTATCACACGTCTACTTCTGGACCAGCATCTGCACTCTCCTGCCCAGCTGGCAGGCTGAGAAGATTAGGTAGGAGACATGGAGAGCATTGGGATGTTGGAGGAAACAAGGGAGAGAGTTAAGGGTATGGGGAAAACTGGAAGGACTGCAGCTGCAATATGTAATATTATGTAAGACTGCAGTGGGGAAGCGAGGGGAGGGGAAGGACAATGGGGAGATAGGAGACACATCTGCTGGACACCAGGCCTTGCTAAAGTTGCCGCTCACAAAGCAAAGCTGCTCTGGAAAAGTAGGCACCGTGGTGTTACCAGCTCCTTGTCTCACTCCCTCAACTTAGCTGCTCACACCAGCTCACCCATGGGAAGCAGAGCCCGGCTTGGGAGGTACCTGCTGGCAGGGGCTGTGGCTGGACAGGCTTGCAATGCCCTGGTGGGGACCCCACTTGAAAGGTCTACAGGGTGGGAAAGGCTCCAGGTGTTTCCGCAGCTCTGTAGCATGGTGAAGACTTGAGCTGCATGTGCAAAGCAAGAAGGGTGGGGTTTTATTCGAAAGAGAAAAAAATTGTTACCTTATTTGCAAACAAGTTCATTTGTAGTAGCTTGTTCCCAGGCATTAGCAAACACTCTGGTTTTAATCTTCATCAGAAATTGTCTCCTTTGCTCCCTTATTTTGTGTTCCCTTTTAAATATGCTGCTGGGGTATTTTTGAATATAACTATATCTTTTTAATCTGTTCCACCCGCCCCTCCTCAGCCCCCACTGCCTCCCTGCCTGCTCCTTCTTCAAACTTATATAATGGTACATTATACAAAATAGCTAAGCAGGTGGTATTTTTAAAGACAGTGAGTGAGCATTTTTTTGGCCTAAATTTGGAACGAAACAGATGGATTTTAAGACTCTGCTTTTTCTATGAATAGTAACCGTTGTTCTCCACTGCCTTAAACACCAGTTTCAAGACCACCTCCAGCAACCAATCAGCACGCTGTTATTTAATTATAACAAAATTCTTAGCTCTGTCTGCTGCTGCATGGGCAAGTGGGGGGCACTGGATCAACTTCTGGAGCCAGGCAGACTTGCCAACAATAATTTTCCTTTTCCCAGAGGGCTGAGGGGGCCTGGAGTGGGTTCCAAGTTCTTCCTAAACTGGCTTTTCAGTTTGGGCTCCCTGACAGAGTGCTTGAAAAGGGTTATAGAAAGGCAGATAAATGCACTTCTTGTTGCAAGCTTCTCTGACAAGCCAGGCCTCCAGAACAGTGATCTCATTCCTGCCTTATTATTAGTGGTGCCAGATTTTTTCCATTAACAGGTAATTGAGTCGAAACTAAAATAAGCAAAGTTTGTTTTATCCAATGCGTTTTCTTGCTTGCTTGTGAAAGAAAAATACTTTAGAGAGGGGTTTGCTTTTAATGTTCATGGAAATGTGTTTACATCTTAGAGATTCCTCCCTGCTCTAGTGTAATTAACCTGACTGGTCTTTTTGTTATTGTTGTTTTGATTTTTAAAGCAAGGACATTGGTGAGGCTTAATTATTTTTACAAACAGTTTGAATTCCCT